ATAGAAAAAATATTTAGAATAGAACACTTTGGTACTATAATAAAAAAAAAGATATATACATGTACATCATGTACGTTGTACAGACTTAATTTAATTATTATTTCAATTCTCAAAGATCTATCTTTCTTCGGTATTTAATTTTATTTTTTTAGTTTTACGCATATTTCTTCAATCAATCAATCATTTATTTTAATCTTTTTACCATTTTACATTAGTATACATAGACCACAAAAACATATAAAATGTAGGTGATTTTATACATAACAGTAGGTCTAAAAGGCATGCGTGAATAAGAAATTAAACAAAAAAAATTTGTAGGTTGCTCATGTTGCTATAAATGCGAAGTAAGGGAATCTAGGCCGGGGAGTATATTTTGTTTATCAGATAAAAGAATATCCCGGGGGAGGAGGTCACAAGTATTTTCAATTCTGAATCTCTGCTAACGATCGATGGTTTGGGACCGGTAAATACGTAGACGAGAAATTGACTTCACTTTTTAATAAAAAAAAAAGTATGCAAAATATACAATCATATAGATATAAAGAGAAAGATTGTTTAGTGAAGCACTTTTTTGAAATAATATTAGCATTTATTGTTCACAATTCAGATGCAGGGAAACTCCACTTCGCTTTATCCGAGAAAAAAACCTTAAATGTATGGATTTTGAATGTCAGGATTATGACGTTGTGTATCGCACTCATGAATAAATGTTATAATTACTTCAGTTCTGAATTTTGTATGGTTCATTGCAATTGATTCTCTAAAATAATTTTATGCATGCATATAAAAAATTCGATAAGTATAATATCATACCTTGCATGACTTTTAAAACACACAACTGAAGAACAGACCTTGCCCTATCGGCTATCACTTAATTGTAAACAGTATTTCACCCCCTCCTTTTTGTGCTACAATCAAGTAAAATCAAATGAATAAGCACCAAGTCTGTGCTGTTCGTTTATACAAAGGTCTCGGGCAAAAATGGAATTAAAAAAAATTATAATCTCTGCACAAAATTCTAATTTTACAAAAACGCAAGCCGTAACGATATCCCTATGGCAGAATGTACTAATAATTGACCCGATTCTAAAACGAAAGTAGAATTTTTACACGTGGTTGACATGTATGTTCCAGAACTACAAGCACAAAGTTTGCATTAATGGAAAAAGTTAATTCAAGTTATGATTTATTTTATTTTGTTTTTTTAACTGACTGACCGCATATAACATGTTTAAGGAGTGGCGCATAATATTAGAAGCCATATGCCCATACACTTAAAACTGTGTACAATGAAAAAAGAATTAGCCTAAAGAAAGACGTGTATTTCATTGACTGAAAATCACACTGCATAAGATTTATGTCATGTAGTGTACAATACTTAAGCCTTAACAAATAATTCAAGAGAGAGAGAGAGAGAGAGAGAGAGAAAGAAGGCTAGAAAGCGACACAATATGATATAAAATTCGCAGGGAGGACATCGGAGAACTAGAGCGCGCTGTCTACATAATATATAAAAAAAATAATTAAAGATGCTTCAATTTAATTATTTAACCCTGTCACATTCTTCTATAAAATAACAAAGTGTACGCTTCAAGACTAGATTTTATGACAAATATTTAATACTGTCTTGTTAGAATGAGAGCTTAATTTAAAAGTAAATGGAAAAGGGGGAGGTGTTTTCAGCTTAATGTGCTCTCATGCATTTTCAGTTCTCCACACGGTAAGATAAATTGATATTTACAACCATTGACTGTATTGAAGTATTAAAGATACCCACAAAAAGCTTTTGATAACAGTACACATACATGTGAGAAAAAATATGAGATGAGATTTTTTTAACCTTTATGAACATAAATCAAACTTTTTAAAAAAGTACTTGGGAAGAAAAACCACTGCAAATACAACAGAATAATTTTCCTCAGATAATGTCATCTACGTTTAAGGAGAAATTTAAAGAAAAAACATGAACATTTATGAAAGCTTATGTTAACATTATGGTCTAAAAATAATTATAATGAAATTAATAGTTGGAAACTGAAAACAAATTATTTAATAAAACGTGACTTTTTTATTTAGAATAATTTATTTTGTAATTGACTGTAATGAATTTGTTAAAATACTTTAAAAGAAAAAAAACAAATAATCATTTCTCAGGCTATTTTAATTCATTCCCAGGTTAAAAACAATGACCACAGGAATTATCAGTAGATCTCAGCATCGACAGTACCTCAACAGTAATTATCAGTAATTCTCAGCAGCGACAGTACCTCAACAGTATTTATCAGTATTTATCAGACTCCACAGTAAAAGACGACAGTAATTATCAGTATTTATCAGTAACAACTAAAATTATCAGCAACAACAGTAATAATAACAGTAAATATCAGTAATTATCAGCAAGAACAGCACCGAATCAGTAATTATCAAACATTATCAGTAAAATTTGGGATTCTCAGTACTTTTTTCGTCCAGTAGTGATAATAACATTGAATCTCAAGTTACTTAACAACATAACAAAGTATTCTACATGAATCAATTGTCAACAGTTGGAAGAGGAATGTTCCTCCAGTCCAGTGTCAAATTTTGAAATGGGGAGAGAAACGTTCAGTGTATTAAGATTCATGGTAGTGGTGTTTTGAGAGGAATTGGTAGAGGAATGTTCCTCAAATGTACTGTTTATATACATGTAGTATGTATTATCAATTGAAATTGACTGATGAACGTTTGTGATATTGTGTGTTAAAACTTGTAAATACAGTGTCATGTTGAAAGAGGAACGTTCCTCCAGTGTATATAGTATCAATATTTAAAATTGGATGAGGAACGTTCCTCAAATATGTTGTGTTTAGACTAGTAAATCCAGTGTCAATAGTTTGAAGAGGAACGTTCCTCCAGTGTACATGGTATATATAGTATCAATATTTGAAATTAGAAGAGGACCGTTCCTCTAATGCCTAATATTTGAAAATTTATGAGATGCCTACGGTAATAAGTAAATTTGAGAGATGAATGTTCCTCAAATGCCTGATGTGTTCATTCATAAGGTATTATAAAATACACACTGTATGTGCACATCTGTAAAAGAGGAACGTTACTCAAATGTCTGGTGATAATAAATGCATCTTAGTTTAGAGAGGGGAATGTTCCTCAAATGTCTGGTCATAACAAATGCATCAGAAGTACAGAGAGAGGAACGTTCCTCAAATCTCTGGTCAGATCAAATGCATCTGAAGTTCGAGAGAGGAACGTTCCTCAAAAGTTTGGTCATAACAAATGCACCAGAAGTTCAGAGAGAGGAACGTTCCTCAAATCTCTGGTCATAACAAATGCATCTGAAGTGTAGAAAGAGGAACGTTCCTCAAAAGTCTGGTCATAACAAATGCATCTGAAGTTAAGAGAGAGGAATGTTCCTCAAATCTCTTGTCATAACAAATGCATCTGAAGTGTAGAAAGAGGAACGTTCCTCAAAAGTCTGGTCATAACAAATGCTTCTGAAGTGTAGAAAGAGGAACGTTCCTCAAAAGTCTGGTCATAACAAATGCATCTGAAGTTCAGAGAGAGGAACGTTCCTCAAATCTCTGGTCATAACAAATGCATCTGAAGTGTAGAAAGAGGAACGTTCCTCAAAAGTCTGGTCATAACAAATGCATCTGAAGTGTAGAAAGAGGAACGTTCCTCATATATTTGAAAAAAATCTTCAAAAAGAGATCTTGTGGAGACACATATAAGGATTTTAAGACCAAAATGACTTCAGATTGTAAATGTTGGGTGAAAAAAAGGGAATTTTGATTTTCCCTTTTTGTTTTGGATTGTGTTAAACGCTCGTCATCGAATGTTTTCCGGTAATTTGACACTTTAAGAAAAAGCCTGTACATTTTATATACAATAAATCGAAATTAATTAATAAACAATATGAAGATGTACATTTTTAAAAAGATGTACATCTTTTTTTTTCAAAAGAATGCTGAAAATCGTTCATCGAAACTTAAAAACAGTCTGAGTTCAACATTTATTACTGTAACAGTTTGCATATAATAAAAAACTAAATTTCTTGTATTTAATTTTGTTTCTTGATAGATTCTTAATAACACAAAACAATTAACCAATTGCAAAGACGTAACAATTTAATATAATTTTCTATTCAATTTCAAGGATTGTTATGTAATTTTAAAAACAAAAATAAACTTATTTTTTCTTAGCTTAAATTCTATTCAAAAATTTATTAATAAACACACGTTTTTTTTTTTTTGTTTGTTTGTTTGTTTATTTGTTTTTTGTTTTTTTTTTGTTACAGGGAAAATTCGCAAATTACAATTCGGGGAGATAACTCCCGTTTGTTTACGATATTAATTGATCGATGATTTAACCGCGGCGGGGACAGGTATGTGATGAATTTCCCGCGGAGGGAACGCGGTTTACCTGTCTACCTGGCCAAATACCGCGTTGTGATTATACCGCGCGGCGGGGACGCGGGAAATAAGGGATCCGCGTTGCCTGTACTGTATACTGTATGCATAAGGGAGACCAAATGTATTATAACTGCATTTAGGAGACCAACTACTTTCTACATGTAAATCAGTATTTAAAACTTGAGATTTTATAATAACCTAGTAATAAAGTTACATATTTTCCAAAATGTTTATCCCAATACAATAGTAATTTACTTTAAATTGTTTGTATTTAGATGACCTAAATCTATTTATCTCAGCCAGAATTAAAACAAGCTAATCTCACATGTGGGCAAACACATGAACAGAGAGATGGGCATGATGATTCCTATGCACATGTATACACCCATGCTTATAAACAAACAATATACATTAGTATCAAATTTGAATTCAATATGTGCAACTTCTGTGAAGAAACTGAAGCAAAACTAGTGGTGGGCCACCAAACCGACAGACAGACTGCAGCAAAACAATATGCCCTCCCGTCTTTGAAGGGGTGCGAGCATAAATTAATTTTATGTGTACTTCTAATTGAATTAAAAACAAAATTACCCTTTGTCAAAATATAGATTTGTAAGCTGGAAGGCTGTTCTTCCTCATTTTCCATGTTAGATTCAGACTGTTCTTCAAAAGATTCTGGCATACACCCCTGTAAGAGTAAACAGTGAAGATAAGAAAGAGCTCCTAAATCAACTACATATTTTTTTTAAAAATCAACTTAAAAGGGATAACAAATGCATTAAACTGCATTAAACTGCATAAAGAAAACCAACTGATATTCATAAACAAAAAAGCATTAACTATAAAAGATATCCTGCACGTCACATTCATACATAGCACAGCTTACGCAATGCATATTTTGTTTACTACAAAACTCCTCGGGCATTTAGGTTCGGCAGTGAAAAGAGGAAACCCATTCAAACTACATGTATAAGCCAAGATTTCAGGGCAATGATTTCATTGGCTAATCAAAAGGTGGTTCTGACATGACCCCGAATGGGATGTTGTTAGATGTTTGAGAAGCTGTAGAGGATTCGGAACATCAAATTTTAATTAGATTGCATGTAAATATGGATAAGAATTTCTTAAAGCATTCACATGATGCATAGGATATAAATTATAAAACTATTCTTTTTTTGAGTCAGAAAGTAACAACATATTGAAAATAATGAACCTATTTCCATACAGTACATGCAATTTATTCAACATGTAAGATAAATGTACTAAATATTTTAAACAACTTGTTTTCCTGTTTAATTTGAATTTGAAGTGTACTTTTTAAAGACAGTAAGACAAAAACAAATTAATATGAGTTGCAAAACAATTATTCTTATTTTTTTTTGTAAAATTCATGCATAATGATTTATATGTCTTTTTTGACAGACTTGTTTAATAATCCAATTATAGTGCATATCACATTATAAACTAGTGCTAATTGTAACGGGAACCGTTACAGATGTTCCCCAAATGCTCCCCAACTCCATTTTGGTGCCATATTCCCTGTAAGCTTCATTAAATAAGACAAACTCTGTGCATTTTTGACTTTAGCAACGTTTGCCCAGAAGGATACCAATTATATTCAAAGTTGAATTCCACTCGTGCGCATGTGAATGCATATCATCTTGTCTACACTATCTATATATTTTAATATACTATATATTTAAGCATTCAGTCCAAAAGTAATAAAAATCACTCATTTTAATTTCACTCGTTCCAAATGCACGCACGTGCGTGCACGTGCATGATGACCATACCTTCTTGTAGGAGTCCCTTATATCTATCTATGTTCTAAATCCCATCCTGTTTGGTTGAAATACAAGGGAGTAATAGTCATTTCAAGTTTCAGCCAATCAGATTGCAGCACACGTGCATGCGCGTGATTTCATGATTTTATTTCTATATCATATTGTAGGATATCCTAATGCATGACTTTATTTTAAATTTCAAAGCATTTCGTCAAAAAACAAAGGAGACATAGCCATTTAAAGTTTCAGCCAATCCGATTGCAGCACGCGCGCATGCGCATGCTTTCATGAAAATTCTTACATATCATGCTGTAGAACTTCATAATGTAGGACTATGTTCAAAATTTCAAAGGATTATGACAAGAAACAAGAAAGATATTGAGACTTTAGTTTCAGCCAATCAGAGCGAAGCGCACGTGCAAGCGCGTGAGATCGTGCTATTTTGACCATGCCATGTCTATAATACTAATATATTCTTATATTATGAGTTTCAAAACATTTTATCAAGAAATAGAAAAGATTCATCTATATCCATTATATTGGTCATTTCACGTGTTGCACGTGCGCGCTCTTGCCAGCACGTGCGCGCAAAATGACCTTGATTCCGCAAATATACATAACATGTCTACTAACCCTAAAAAGGTTTTACCTACTTCAGGTGAACAGTTTACAAGATCACTCGCGGACAAAAAAGTACCCAGGAAGAAGAAGAAAAATAATAATAACTAGATGAGATCTCGTTGCGAGCAACGAGTAGGTCTTCCGTTGAATTTCTAGATAAGATGAGATGTGATTTTGACTGAGATATTTGTTTAAAGAGAATGACATTGAGTTTTCCCTAGTTAAAGTTAAAGTTTCTCATTTTTATCACGATATTCTGAACATCTTTTGTTTGATAAGGCTTATGAAAATACTCCCCCTTTTCGAGATATAGAGCATAAAAAATATAGCATTTTGGTCCCTTGCGACCCCTAATTACGTAACGTATGATAAAAATATATTATTATATATTGTTGCAAATCGTCAAGATGAATACTTTGGCCTCAGTAATGTATAACAAAATTATTGATCATTAGAGAGTTATAGATAAAAGACTTTTGGCCCCTCTGGGCCCCTAATTTGAGGGGTCAGCCCCTTTTTCTTGATATTAAATGAAAGGTCTTGTGATTTTGAAGATTTTTTGTTCAACAATTATTCAGAGATTTCTTTTTGTTGTGGAGATATGTTAAGTGGAATTATTTAGGGGCCACTCCTACAAGTCCTTAATGGGGCCGTTTTACAAAAATACAAAGTATGCATATTGTTTAGAACATTATTCTGACCATCTTTTGTTCAATATTGCTTATCAAAATATTCCCCCTTTTTGAGATATAAAGCGTCAAAGATGTGACATTCTGGCCCCTTGTGACCCCTAATTACGTAATATATTATTTAAATATCATCATATATTGTTTCAAATCGTTAAGATAAACACTTTTCCTTCAGTAATGTATAACAAAATATTGATCGTTAGAGAGTTATAGATAAAACACTTTTGGCCCCTCTGAGCCCCTAATTTGAGGGGTCAGCCCCATTTTCTTGATATTAAATGAAAGGTCTTGTGATTTTGAAGATTTTTTGTTCAACAATTATTCAGAGATTTCTTTTTGTTGTGGAGATATGTTAAGTGGAATTATTTAGGGGCCACTCCTACAAGTCCTTAATGGGGCCGTTTTACAAAAATTCAAAGTATGCATATTGTTTAGAACATTATTCTGACCATCTTTTGTTCAATATTGCTTATCAAAATATTCCCCCTTTTTGAGATATAAAGCATCAAAGATGTGATATTCTGGCCCCTTGTGACCCCTTATTACGCAAGATATGCTTAAAAGTTTATAATATATTGTTCCAATTGGTTTAAAATTTAAAAATATCGAAAAATCGAGCAGAAAAAATGATAAAATTTTTTGGTCACATGGGGGATCGAACCCGGGTCGCCCGCGTGACAATCCAACGCGCTAACCATTTAGCCATTGAGATCGCCGCTTCGCGTTTTCAAATGCATATATCTCGAGATTGGCTTTTTCGATTTTCAAACAAATTACATATTTCGCTTCTGCAAAAGGGTCTCTATTCAATTCTAAAACAAAAATATTAAAAAAGAAAAATTGAAAAATTACGTTTCTTAAATTCGTTTCCGGTATCGACCGGAAGTAATGACGACGCACGAAAAGGCGATTCTGCAACGCTATAAGTCATGAACTATCATCTCCAATTAATCTTCAGTTCATATCTTAAGCAGTTTTCGCTACTAAATCAAGACAAAATTGCATTTTAAAATCAGGAAATTGTCCATATGGCACGACCGGAAGTGACGGCGTCAACGAAAAAAATTTCCAATAAGGTTCAGATCAGTACCAATCAGATGTGAAAGTTTCATGAAAATCGGCCCAGTAGTTTACGAGAAATCGCGTGCACAAAATCGGTAAGAAAAATAATAATAATAATAACTAGATGAGATCTCGTTGCGAGCAACGAGTGGGTCTTCCGTCCAATTCTTGACGAGATGAGATAAGATTTTGATTGCAATTTTCATTCTAAAATAATGATTTACCACAATCTGTAAAAAGACATTGAACATTAAAGACTTTTAAAAATCGGCATTTTACCCCTAATTTTGGGAATCGACCCTCTTTTTTCATATTTTCTTAAAGCTCTTAAGATTTTGAAGATTTGTTGTTCAACAACTATTCAGAAATTCGTTTTCGTTTTTGAGATATAAGCAAAAGAAATATTTAAGGGGCAACCATTAAGCAACTCCTTAATCTTTGCTTCAGTAATGTATTACAAAATATTAACTGATAAAGAGTTATCGAAAAAAAGACTTTTGGTACCTCTTGGCCCCTAATTCAAGTGCCCAGCCCCTATTTTGAGATCTCATCTGAAAGATCGTAGGATTTTGAACATTTTTCGTTCAATAACTATTCAGAAATTATTTTTTGTTTTTGAGCTATTAGCAAAAGAAATATTTAGGGGCCAAGCCTTTAACTCCTTAATGGGGACGTTTAAGGAAAAATAAAAGGCTGCATATAGTTCAGAACATTATTTTGAAAATCTTTTGTTCAATATTGCTTATCAAAATATTTCTACCTTCCGAGATATAAAGCATCAACGATTAAGCATTCTAGCCCCTTATAGCCCCTAATTATGTACCATTCGACTTAAAAACCATATTTTATAGTTGAAGATGGTTGAGATAAAGATCTTTGCTTCAGAAATGTATTATAAAATATTAACTGATATAGAGTTATCGAAAAAAGACTTTTGGCCCCTATTGGCCCCTAATTTGAGTGCCCAGCCCCTATTTTGAGATCTCATCTAAAAGATCTTAAGATTTTGAACATTTTTTGTTCAATAACTATTCAGAAATTCTTTTTCGTTTTTGAGCTATTAGCAAAAGAAATATTTAGGGGCCAACCCTTTAACTCCTTAATGGGGACGTTTAAGGAAAAATGAAAAGTTGCATATTGTTCAGAACATTATTTTGAACATTTTTTGTTCAATATTGCTTATCAAAATATTTCTCCCTTTCGAGATATAAAGCATCAAAGATTTAGCATTCTGGCCCCTTATAGCCCCTAATTATGTACCATACGACATGAAAACCACATTTTATAGTTTAAGATGGTTGAGATAAAGATCTTTAAATCAGAAATATATTACAACATATTAACTGATATAGAGTTATCGAAAAAAGACTTTTGGCCCCTTTTGGCCCCTAATACGAGTGCCCAGCCCCTATTTTGAGATCTCATCTGAAAGATTTTAAGATTTTCAACATTTTTTGTTCAATGACTATTCAGAAATTCTTTTTCGTTTTTTAGCTATTAGCAAAAGAAATATTTAGGGGCCAACCCTTCAACTCCTT